TCTTCTATTTTATGGGTGACCTCACTCCAGTGTCATTCATAATTATGATTGTTGTAAATCTCCCTCTATCCTGTCCTTTCTTTATTTCTGTACATTCTTTACTTGTACTTCACTCTTCAGAGAAGAAAGTGGAAGAATAAAGAAAAGTGACCAGACAAATGTAATCTTCTAAATCAAACAGCCTTTCTTATTGTAGCTCTTCTCTTCTCCTCATCCCACCTCTCATCCAGAGTTTTCCTCTTTCTTCCTTTTCCTTCTAATCATGCCTTCACATTCCTCCCTCTAACTTTTCTATTTTGTTTCACTTTCAACTATTCCCTTACCTACCCTACTTTCCCTCTTAGACTCTTCTCTATCCCCTTCTCACCCTGTCCCTTTTTCCCTTTCGAATTTAATGTATGTCTTTGCCAAGATCTGGCAGGAGAGGGAAGGCAAGGTTGTGTAATTACTTTTTACTTTTCTACTTTTTTTATCTTATCTGTTTCAAATGAGAGTGAGCTTCATGGGACCACCCTTCCTCCCAGGAGAGGGAGAGGGAAGAGTGGAGGGAGAGAGGGAGACACACACACACACACACACACACACACACACACACACACGTGCGCATGCACACACATACACACACACACACTTTATAGTATGCACCTCTGTTATGCAATAATGATTTTCTTTCATTTCTTCCTTCTTTCCTCCCTAGTAGACTCCTGTCCCTCCTACCTGTCTCTTCCTAAGACAAAAGTGAACCACTCACAGACCTTTGTCATTTAAACTTTTTTCTGATAATTAAAGATATGAGGATTCTCATAAAACATCTGTCTTTCATTTCCCTGTTAACATGTAAACAATCCACCCTCATATATTTCTTTCAATTATACAGATACACATATCTTTCTATATTTCTCTTGGCACCTGCCTTTCCATTTCCAAATGTCTGTTTCCCCTCTGGCCTTTTCATCAGGAATACTTGGGAATCCTCTATTTCATTAAAAATTTATTTTCCCCCACTGTAGATTAGACTTAGTTTTGCTAAATAGGTTTTCCATGGCTCTAAAACTTCATTTCTTGACTCTTGGAATACAACAATCCAAACTCTTCTCATTTTATTTTGGCAGCTGCTAAAACCTGTGTAATCCTTATTTTGGACATTTGGTATTTGAACTGCTTTTTGGCTGCTTGTAGTGTATTTTTTTTTAACCTGGAAGCTCTGGATTTTGGCTTATGATATTCCTGGAAGTTTTCATTTTGGGGTTTCTTTTAGGAGGTGACTGTTGGATTCTTTCTGTTTTCATTCTGCTCTCTGATTCTATAAGTTCTGGCCAATTTTCATTTATATTTTCTGAAATACAGCATTTAGAATTTTTTTCTGATTATAATCTTAGATGGTCAGAAAATTCTAAACCTATCTCTTTTCCAAGTCAGTTGTTTTTGATATATTTTCTCACATTTTCTTTTTTTCCTTTTTTATTTTATTTTTATATTTCATGTTGTATTGCTGATTCATTGTTTTCTAGCCAGCCATTCTAATTTTCAGGGTATTCATTTCTTGAATGAAGTCTTCTACCATCTGTTCCAAGGTATCAGCTTTCTTCACCGGTCTTTCCTCCCTGTCTTTTCCATTCTGTAGTCATTGCTTCATTTCTTCCAGATACATTTGCAATCTTTGTGGTCAAGACAATTTTTTTATTGAGGCATTACCTGGACTTCTGGGTCATCTTTTGGGTTTACCTCCAGACATTTCTCAAACCAACTTATTTTTTCTTCTTGATGGTCAGAAATTTTCTTGGTTTGCTCAAGGATTTTTTTTTGGGGGGGGAGAATGTCAAACTTTAGTCAAATTGAGTATGGTGGTCCAGTCTAGCCCCCTCCTAAAGGGACTTCAGAGAAGCTTCTGACCTTAATTCAGTCTGGGGGCCCCCCACTTGTCGCAGGACTTTTTGATCTTTCTCCTGTAGGATTCATCTGAAGTCCTTCCTTCCTCCTTTTGGATTTGTGCATCAATCCTGTGCTGGGTTCCCACCATCAAGTTCAGGGCTTGCTTGAGCTGGATTTTGACTAGAACTGTTCTGCCTCACTTGGGCCACAGGTGCAGAAATGGCCCCAGCCTGGATTGGACCACATCTCTCTGCTATGCTAGGGTAAAGTTCATCCTCTATTGGGTTTGGGTCAACATTAGGCTCTGGAATCTCTTGGAAAGCTGGGAGGGGTCCACCTTGATCACCCTCAGGCAGTTCTGTTGGCTTCAGGCAGCCAGCCACATGTCTAGGAAAGGCTAAGCTATGTATACAGCATGGTTAGGGCAGGAGGGCCACGTGCTAGAACCTTTTCAAACTCCCCAACTCCCCAAAAACCCTCTGTTCTGACTAGGAGAAGGCTGAGACTGGCTGGCCCTGGATGTATCAGAGTTCAGGCAGGGAGCACTGGTACTACCTGAAGGCTCCAGGAGCAGCTGCTTGTAATCAGCCCTCTGAGCTTCACCAGAACATCCCAGAATCACGGTAGGGTCCCAGGGATCCCTCTGTGGATTTCTGGATAGGATGGAGGAGTCACCAGAAATATAGTTTATGTTGCCTTTCTGGGCCAGACCAGCTTTGACATTACAGATAAATAATGAAACTGTTTACCCATGTATGGCTTGTGGACAGCTTCCTTGCTTTAAAGGCTGAACATCTATGTCTTTGTTAGTTTCTTCCTGAAATAAACTGTTCCTTCTCATAGATAGATGATCAGGGATGTAAAATGGTTGAAATATAATTTAAAGAGCAGCTGACCAGAAATAATTGTGGTAGAAATAAGGTCTGAAAGACTATTAAATTACAAATTTGGATAATTATGTCTTAGATATGAAGTCATGACTGACATGGGAGAATAGAAGGCACACAAAAAGGATTGTAAATGTTTATTCTCCTATGACATACAACATGATAGGATATTCCATGATAATACCTGCAAATAAAAACTTGTAATTTTTTGCCTTGTACTCTACATGAATATAATCAAGACTAGAAAAATTTGTAACTACAGACAGTAGTAGCCATGCTCTGAAATATAATGAAATCATTTAGGGATTCTTTGTAATCCAAATACCAGGAAGATAGAAGGATGCAGTTAAAGGGTAAAGTCTAGTGGAGGCAAATTTAATTCAAGTATTCTATATTGGAAGCTAACCAAAAGCTAGGGGGAGGGAGGGAGGGAACAGAGAGGGAGAGTTTGTCACCAAGTCTTCCAGGAAATTACAGTGAACATTACAATGGTGGTTCATTTAGTATGGGGGTGGGGGTGGGAAGAGTCAGCAGAAGGAGGAAGACAACTTCCCTGCACATTTCAAGAAGCAAACTCACTCAGAATTAGATAGCAGTTTCTTCCAGAAGATACCTGTGTCCACCTAATAACCTACAGAGGAGAGTTACTGAACTGCCCTTCGTTGGGGGAAGGTGGAGGGTGGGGGAAGTGGAATCTACAGCCAATAACAATAGTGTATTAGAGATTCTGAAGTAAGGCTGCTTCAAGATGTTAAGCAAAGAAATTCAAAGCTGTCTAGGAAAGTAATCTACTTGAGTGTTTTGTTTTTCAATCTGCTTGATTTGTAATATGTCACCTGTGAGTGAAGTTAAGGCAGGGATTATATTTGCTTTTTTTTTTTCTTGAGGGAGGAAGCTGTAATCCCAATGACTAACACAGTGCCTGGCACACTGCTATTGTTCAGTCATTTCCAACTCTTTGTGATCCCATTTGGAGCTTTCTTGGCAAAGATACTAGAGTGGTTTGCCATTTCCTTCTCCAGGTCATTTGACAGATGAGGAAAACTGAGGCAACCAGGGTTAAGTGACTTGCCCAAGGTAACACAGCTAGGAAGGTCCTGAGGCCAGCTTTGAACATAGGAAGATGAGCCTTCCTGACTTCAGGCTGGGAGCTGTCTACTTTGACACCTACCTACATTTAGCTACGTTAGCATTTCACTTTGTATTACATTTGTGACTTTTTTCCTGTCGCCCATTACATTATAAGCCTGTTGAGGGCAAAGGCTTTGTCTTAATTTTCCTTTTATCTGAATCAGCACTTGCAACAGGGCATTACACACAGTAGGTGCTCAAAACATGTTTACTGAATTGATCTGGTACTCTCTGAGATAATCTTGAAGGCAATGTAGTACAGCAGATTGAATTCCACGCTTGCAGCCAGTAAGACATCTTCCTGAGTTCAAACCCAGCCTCAGATACTCACTAGCTGTGTGACCCTGAGTAAGTCACTTAACCCTGTTCACCTCAGTTTCCTCATCTGTAAAAATGGGCTGAAGAAGGAAATGGCAAACCACTCTATTATCTCTGCCAGGAAAACCTCAAGTGGGGTCACAAAGAGTCAGACACAACTGAACAACTCAACAAACAAGACGCTACACAGCCTTAATGGGATAGTAAACAGACAGTGATCACTGGCATATTGATAAATGTTTATTAGAGATATTTAACAATAAGTAAAACAACATGCAAGTAGGAACCTCTAAAATAGGGGTTCTTAATCTGAGGTGTGTGAATTTGTTTTAAAAAAACTAAGTATTTTAATATAATTTGTTATTTTGGTAATCCTATGTTTTCTTTTATGAATTCCAATATATTCTCAGGAGTCCGTAGGTTTCACCAGACTACCAAATGCCAGAAGGGTCCATGATGCAAGAAGATTAAGAATTCCTGTACTAACAAAACAAGCCTAATAAATACTAATAATTAACAAAGTAGCTTATTTGGTGGCAGATTGTCAATTTTATGGGTGATTTTTAAAGCCTTCTCTCTTCCATTTCTTGTGGCCTACAATTTGTCCATATCATTGCTCATTTTAAGAAAGTGTTAAAGAAGGAGAAAGAGACACCCCAGGGACTGGGAGAAAGATATCAACCAATTAATTGCTAGGTAGTGAGAGAAATGATTATTTGTCTCTTGTACTTAATAGCTAGTTATTGTACTGGAACTAATGCTTTTTTTTCCCTTTTCTTTTTCCTCATCCAGAAACCAACTGGTGTTGAAAAGCTTTCTCAAAGATTTACCCAGGCCAAGATCTAACCAGACAGCAAAAGAAATCCTAAGTTTAGGCTAATGGGAAGATTCCTACTCAAGCTTGAAAAATTATTGATTCTCCCTTTCATCAGACAGGTGGTATGGAAATTGGTAAGTCTCTTTGACCAAGATTTGAGTGAGCCAGTTCAATACCCCAAGACTCTCATTGTAATATAGCCCAGCCACTCATTGTGATATTCATTGTCTCATTGATTGTTACCAAGCAGAATTGATTGCCACCCTTGGGAACACTTGCTCTTCCAAGAGTATACAAACTGTGAGCCCACCACCCATGAGGGGTCTTTGGCACTTGACAGGGCTACTGAAATCCTTTTATTAATAAATACGCTAGGCTTACTAATAAAATGATTAAATTACCCAGAAACTATATCTCTCGAAATTTTTAAATGCCACAGTCTCAACTTTTCTACTCATATACAAGGTTAGGCTATGTTGGACATACTGGTTGAAATGAAATTACTAGATTTAATGTCCCTGTGTCATCACTGAGAGACATTTGGAAGTGGTGAGTAGATAACCAAGTACCAGCCTGGGAGTCAGGAAGACCTGGGTCTAGGTACTACCTCTGACAATATTGGGCAGGTTCTTTAAATTATAGGAACTCCCAGCAAGTTGCTGATTCAAATCAGTGGAGGTGGGAATTTCAACACCAGTAGGTCCAGCCTTAAAAATACATACATACATACACACATACATACACACACACACACACACACACACAAACATACATAATACATACACCCTTATCATTGATAGTTTCTGATTCTCTTTGTTGCTGAAAAGCAAGCTACTGCTTGCTGTTCTTTTTATCTCTCTCTCTCTCTCTCTCTCTCTCTCTCTCTCTCTCTCTCTCTCCTCTCCCTCCTCTCCTCCCTCCCTCCCTCCCTCCTCCCTCCCTCCCTCTCTGTCTCTCTCTCTCTCTCTCTCTCTCTCTCTCTCTCTCTCTCTCTCTCTCTCTCTCTCTCTCTCTCCCTCTCTCTCTCTCTCTCTCTCTCTCTTCTCTCTCTCTTCTCTCTCTCTCTCTCTCTCTCTCTCTCTCTCTCTCTCTCCCTCTCTCTCTCAACTGGGAGAGATCCTCAACCTGAGGATACTAGTTTCCAATCTCTGCCTCTTTGCATTTGTCCTCCATGTTTAAGGAATAAGCAGTTGGGGATGGCCATGATCTGGTGAGTTTTGAAAGGTCACTGGACCAAACTACCAAAAATCTAGGAGCTGGAGTTCCTGTTGTGATTTAACAGATGCCACATGGTAACGATGCTCAGAGCAACCTGCATGGCACAAGCCACAAGTAGCAGAGATGCAGATTCATCTCCCCCATTCAACACTGAAGTGAATTTGGTGGAGCAAATGCTATGTAGAAACTGTGGTCATGTCAAAGCCCACTCCTTCCCAGGGACTAAGGTGATACAGGGGTCAGTATACTCCCAAGCACTGGCAAGGGGGGATTTTATAGTTCTGTTTTTGTTGTGTCTTCACAGTAAATATCTACTTGCAAAAGTCAAAAATAAGGTGCACAAAGAAGGAGAAACAGAGTAAAAAACTAGAAAAGAACAGAACAAGGGGAAAGAATACTCTAGTGACCATGCTAAAAGATTGTTCACCTCTGTAGCTTTTATTTAACACTTTGCCTACAATTCTTGTGCAGCTTGGACAAGTTATATAGCTTTCTTTAGTTTACAAAAGTTCAGAAATATTATGCAATCTCATGCAGATATCTAAAGGTTTTCAACACTTCGAAGTCATTATTTGGATAAGGCACAGACCACTAGACCAAAGAGTCTCTTAAAGGGGCCCCATATTTCTCAAACTCTTCCAAATGCATTTAGATTAGAAAACAAAACAGGAACGCCAAGCCAAAACACAAAACAAACAAAAAACCAAAACAATAAAAACAAACAACCCCCCCCCAAAAAAACTAAAAAACAAAAGGGAGTAATTCAAAGTAATTGAAATAGCCAACTATAAAATATGAATAGCTCTTAGGACATCTCTTGAGGGCTCTAAAGAATCTGGAAGAGTTTTCAGAAGAAACCTCAGAGGAAAGCCAATGAGCACGGTTGATATGGGTGAAGTCATGTGCCTGTTACACAGCTCGCTGCTGGGATATTAAATCTTGCAAAGTGTAAATTATGCCAAGCAGTTTGCAAAAATGTCAAAGTCCAGTCTATATGAGTGCAGCCCTCAAAGTCAATGTTGATAAAAGCATGCTGTCTATCCCCAGGGTTGGGAACACAGTCAAGAAACTTTGGGTATGTGGACTTTTTCCACCAGTGATGGACCAAATATCAGGAATTAGAGTAAGTCGTAGGGACTTATCTGGGGTTCAGAGAGATAATAAATAATAATTATCAATATTAATAGTAAATAAAATAACGATGATGATAGCCAATATTTATATAGCACCTATTACGTGTCAGGTGATATGCTAAGCACTTAACACATTTTTATCTCATTTTTTTCCCTCGCTACTATAGAAGGTAGGTACTATATGGGGCAGCTAGGTGGCACAGTGAATAGAGTGTTGGCCCTGGGGTCAGGAGGACCTGAGTTCAAATGTGACCTCAGATGCTTTTTAGCTGTGTGGTTCTGGGCAAGTCACTTAACCCTGTTTGCTTTAGTTTCCTCATCTGTCAAATAAATGATCTGGAGAAGGAAATGGCAAACCACTCTAATATCTTTGCCAAGAAAACCCCAAATGGAGTCATGAAGCACCCGACGCAACTGAAAATGACTCGGTAACAACAGAACTGGTATAATCCACATTGTATAGATGAGGAAACTGAAGCAAACAGAGGTTAATTGACTTGTCCAGGACCCTAGCTAGCGAGAGCCTGAGGCCACATTTGAACTCAGATCTTACTGACTCCAGGCCCAGAGCTCTATACACTTCACCACCTAGCTGCCCCCAAGACATCAAGTGATTTGCTGAGTGTCATATAGCTAAGTGACAGAGGATAGGCCTGAACCCAGTTCTTTCTGATTCCCAGCCCAGAATGCTCTCACCACGTCATGCTGCCTCTTAGATATGTGGGGGTGGGGAGAAGGAATTAGAGAAGGGTGTTTGTTTTGACTTTACTTTTTTTTTTCAACTATCAAACATTTATTGTTTCTCCCTCTCATACTACTCCCCCTTTCTTAAAGGAAAAAAGGGGAAAAAGGGAAAACAAAACCATTATAACAAGATATATAGTTAAACAAAATCAGAGCCCATATTCCATCTGACTACCATTTTGTCGGTGGCAAGAATCCCTAATTAGGAAATCCCCTGTTCCCATCCAGATCAGAGCCAATGCTGTAACTTAGAGTCTTAGAGAGTTGCCTAGGGCACCAAGAAGTAAGTGATTTGCCCAGAGTTGCAAACCTACTATGTGTCAGAGATGAGATTTGAACCCATGTCTTCTTGATCTGAGGCCATCCCTCTTTCTATCCCTCAATACTTCTGTATTGCGAAAGACCACTTTAACTTATGCTGGCCATAAAAACCAGTTAAGTATTATTGGGTTAAGAATGGTCATTCACATTGAATTATATAGCCAAAGTATACACAGCATGGTCCAAAGGTCTTATTACAGTTTTGAGTTTAATGGATTTTTAGAATTTTCCTACTTCTCTGATGCCCAAAAATCTGAGTGCAGTTTTAAGCTTAATGTAATAACTAATAATAAGAGCTAACATTTATATAGCACTTATGTGCCAAGTGCTATGCTAAGCACTTTATAATTAGAATTTTATTTGATAGTCACAATAACCTGGGGAGGCAGGTGCTCTTATTATCCCCATTTTACAGATGAGGAAACAGGCAAACAGAGGCTAAGTGACTTACCAAAGGTCATATAGTTACTGCAAACATCTGAGGCTGAATTTGAATTCAGGTCTTCCTGTCTCTGGGCCCAGTGCTCCAATCAATGAGGCACCTAACTGCATCTTGTTGTCAAATGTTTGGTGATTATTTAAAAAATGATGAATATGAAGAATTCAGGGGAAAAAAAGAGAGAAGACGTATAGGAAATGCTGCAGAGGCCAAATCTGAACTGGAATCTTCCTCACTTCCTGGAGTTCTATCAAACTGTACCACCTAGCTTTGCACTAAGATTTTTGGGACATCCTGTAGGTAGGAAAATTAAAAGAAATTCTTTTGAGTATGTCAGCCTATATGTAATGTGATTTTGCTAGCAAAAGCAACCAGCCTGCTTATCTTCATTATTTTCATTTGAAAACAAGATATCCATCTTCTTTTAAAGCGTCCATTGTAGAAGACTTAATCCAGGAAATATTTTTTAGACTACCCTGGCTGAATTACCACTTGGCATCAGTCATTACTAATTCTGAATATTGGATTCAGAATTTTAACTAAGGAATAAATTGTATATCAGATTGGACATATATTTAATAGCTTTGTAAAAGGGAGGGAAAATGGAAGCTGGCCAATAGAAGTAGTTGTTTTTGAAATTTAGCCTTAGCTCTCATCTCCACTTCTCAGAATTTTAATATTATTTAACCTACTTTCTTTTTGTTTGAAAGGAAGCTCACCCCAAGGCTACATGTGTGTGTTACATTACACAAAACTCCATAAATTCTTAAATCTTTGCAATAGCTTGGCCAACATAGTTATGCTTATGAACTTGTCCATATGCCCATGGGGCAAGAAGATGGAAACTATCATGAGCTTTATGGAAAATATGGCTGAAAAACCAATGGACTAGTACAACCTATGTTGTGGGCTCAGTTACCAGCATTCTTGTTGGTATGAATTATTAAAAGGATGGCTTGTGATCAGTGTGGTAGCAAGATGAGCTAAGTAAGACTAAAAAAAGAGCCAGCCATACCACATACACTTTATTTCCTTCTTAGATAAGGTGACTAGACTCATAGATCCCTCCTTTAGGTACTTACTAGCTGTATGAATCTGGGCAAATCTATTAACCTCTTTCAGCTTGTTTCTCCTTTATAAAACAGAGATGATGATAATAGCATCTACCTCAGGCTTGTTGTGAGAGTCAAATGAAATAATATACATAAAATACTTTCAAAACCTTTAAATGCTATTTAAATATTTACCATTAATAGTTACTAATGACTTTGCAAATCTTTAAGCATTATATAAGTGATAGCTGTTATACCCATATGGATTCTAGCAAATTATTCTCCAAAGACTCTTAAGATATCTTCTTAGACAAGGTGGAAAGATGTTTGAATGACAGTATATTAAGTAGGTACTATATTCATTAACTTACAGAACCCAAGGAGCATTGGTCAATATCAGTGTGTAGAAAGGATTAGAGATCTCTTT